TTTAATGACCTGCAGCAAGTTTTAACAGAATGGCATAACCACCTCATTGTTTCCTATGGTGAGATTATATTTTCTCAGTCTACACTTTTCCCAGTTTTCTGAGAAATCATTTTCTTTTTGTTTCTTCAACTGCTAAGAACAAATTTGCATAATAAAATTTTACCTTTTCTCCCAAAGTTTATACAATGAAGTAAAATGGCATTTTGCATGATGCATTTGTAAAAATATGAACACATGGACAAGAGATGCACTAAGTGTGCTGGTGATAAAACACCCTAGTCCGTGCCAGTTGCAATAATCACTTAAGTGGGATCAATTTACTACAAGTGCACAAACATGAGAAAAACAGTTGAACTTGATTTTCATCCCTGATATTCCATCCTCAAGAGTGAGAACTGACTTTCAGTTCCTTCAGAGCCAATAAATTTAGATTCTTAAATTAACATCAGGAGGCTAATACATTTTGATTCTTAAATTAACATCAGGAGTATACTGGCTATGAGATGCTGGTTAAAAAGAAGTTGTGTTATCAGTAATGCATCAACTGTTACTATTGTCCCTAAGTATAATTCCATGTCTTGACCAATGTTGTTGTTTCTTCAGGGACGATAAACGTTTTTCCAAAGTTTCCCACAACCGTGCAGCTTTAATTGCACTTGTTCAGATGCTTGTGGTTTCACAGAACCACGGAATGTTAGGGATTGGAAGGGACCTCAAAGATCACCTAGTCCAATCCTCCTGCCAGAGCAGGATCACCTACAGTAGTTGACACAGGAAAGCATCCATGTGGGTTTTGAATGTCTCTGGAGTAGGAGGCTCCACAACCTCTCTGGGCAGCCTGTTCCAGTGTCCTGTCACTGTTTCTTTTTTTACTTCAGAAGCCTGCATTTATACCCCAAAGATACGTAAACTAAAGCTTCTAACTAAAACCATGTACAATTGTTATACAAGATTAGCAGCACCTAGTTCTACAGAAATAATTATTTTTTATATATAAAAAACCTTCTGTTGTCTTCATCATTTTGAAACCTGTTGCTTAACAGCTAAAACACACAGCAATTTTGGAGTAGTAGTCCATGGTCAAAAATTAAAGGAAGAAAGAGAGTCTAAAGTATTGATTTAAATGAAAAGCTTATTGTCTGACATTGATTGTTGACAACTGGTATTAGAGGAGATTAGAATTTTGAACAGAACATATATGCCCACAATAAATAACATATTTTCTCAGTGAAGATTTATGTCAAGGGAGCACTTAGTGCCCACATCCACCTACTAAGAATTGGAGTTGAAGATCAAAGACAGAACTTAGATTTAATACTGCTAAAACATAGAAAGAGAACCTAGGACTTGAGATCCCACTAGTGAGAGGCTGCCTACCAGATAATGGAATTACCATCTTTCATTAGACTGGGAATGAGAACTGGGAGGCATGCAGCATAAAATTTCAAATGCTTTATGCTTTATTAATACAGGAGATACTCTAACTACCAGGCCATGGTTATACTGATCACCTAAAACTTACTGCAGTATTTTAAAGTGTTTGAGAAGTGTAAGAAATAGAGCAGATTATATATCATTGCCCAAGGCAAAAACTCTTAAAGCTTTTAAAGTGCCACTGCCCTGAATACACTGTCTGGGACTCTGTACTTAACAAGCATTTAAATATTGCACATTTACTTGAAGTTATATACCTACTGTCCTTCTCTAGTCAATGAACACAGACTATTTTCTAAGTAAGCTGATTCACTCACCTATGTTAGATACCTGCCTGCAGATGGGTAAGTCGATGACTACAACTGCTCTTACTACTCTGTTTCAAAAACCAGACATGAAGACATGAATTATTCCAGACTGGAATAATTTCCCCACTTTCTGACGTTGAGTAGCTAAGGTATTAAAATAATAGAAATCAATTTCTCTGATAATATTCTCATGCTCAAAGCACAGAAATACTGACAACTGTACACACACAATTTTCATTATGTTAATAAAATATATATTTATGCTAAAAAATAATATGAACATTCCAAAATAAGAAAGTTAGGCTATGATATATTTATCTGATAAAACAATACTCAGTACAATTCTAACAACCAAATGCCTGAGATGCTTGGCTTTGACACTGTCACTAAGACTCTTTGGATTTCCTGATAATACCAAACAAATGTCTCTCACGGGAAGCTAGTCTAAAATCCAAACTCTGCCCCTTCCCAACTGAATGCTTTGATCTCTAAATTGCACGCAAACTCTTGCCCCTTTGCCTAATGCCACGCTCCATTGCTCCTGGCTGCATGCCAGCTTCAAGATGGCAGGCAACGTAACTGCTCAGCGTATTCCTGGTGTCACAGCTAGTACACTTTCCTAGGAATCAGGAGATGGAGGTTTAATCTACTTGGAGATTAATGAAGCCACCTACTTCACAGGAGAATGCAGTAATTATAACACGCTCAAGAACACTTCTATAGTGGTGAAACACCTCCTGGGTGAACCTTTTCAGGAAGCTACTACTAAGTGGATGCTTGTGGCAGTAAAATATACATTTTTTTCTAGCGTATTAACTATTTCTAATTAAAAAAAAGCACCTGGGATTATATAATCTGTGAAGGTAATGTAAAATTTAAAATTTATCTTAATTGTTTACCATATTCCTTACTTATTTTACTTCTGTCATACTTTCCCGATATTTTCTCATTTTCTTAAGTAATGCTCTTTACTCCCAAAAAACCAAGGGATACTAGTCAACATGGTCATAATGCTCTTTACTCCCAAAAAACCAAGGGATACTGGTCAACATGGTCACAGAGGAAAAGAAGAGACCTCTGTTCTTCCTTGGTACTCTGCCTCCTGCACAAACTTATCCCTTCCTTGCACATTGCATTAATTCCCTTTTTCATATTCTTGGCTCCACTGGCAAGGAAAAAGCAAAAATTGCACAAGTGAGCAGGTATCTAGTCATAACCTTTATCTTTTGGTTGACAGTTCATGGTCACACAGAAGCCCAGTAACACTGCACTAAATTTGGTGCAAGGGATTAATGAGCATAACCTTTTTCTCCGGTGGTATCTCAGTGCATTTACATTCTGTTGCTTCAATCTATCAAGAACTGAGTAACACATAGTCATAAGTTTCAAAAGAGCCACCATGGCAAGTCCCAAAACTGTCAGCTTTGGTAAACAATGTATACTATAAACACGGGAAGAAAGCTGAATCTTGAGTTAGGATGTAACTCAAGCTATCTACCTTTTTTATAGACAAGAATTGCTACAATGTGCTGTATTTTAGCTATAAACACAGCTATAAATGTAGTCATATCTACATAATCATATGCACAGATATCTCAGTTTATCCAGCAGAATGGCAGACAGTATGTAGGATATGTAAACAGATCTGCCAAACACTTACAAAACAACTTTAATAGCAAGTGTCATTCTTTTCTGTAAAGTAGCTGTTTTTAACACACATGATCTAACTCTTGTTTGCTCTTTAAAGTTTTATTGTCTTGGCATTTTATACAGGAAGAGAGCATTAGCATACTCAGGAGAACTGCTAAAAGTAAAAGGCCTCAAGCTACCCACTGCATGGTTGATAGCATAAAGCATGGGATATAAAAACTTTTGTCTGATTGCTCACTTTACTTGTTTTAGAGTAGTGTTACTCTCAAGAGCATATATTCATGTTCTTTCTACTTCAAGTTTTATTACTTCTTTTGTATTATTTAATACATCTAAAGACACTTCCAAAAGACAAATTTTTCCATTTTGAAAAAGTAATGGTTTGGAACCTGATAAAATACATGAATGTTAACAGTGTGTTATTTTCAAAGGCAAGTAGAATAAATGTGCAATAAAACAATTAAATGCATGACAATAAACATTTCTATGTGATCACTGATACACTAACATGCGTAAAAAAAAGAAGACAAACTCGGCAAAATATTTTTCCTAAAAATGGTCACATCAAAATGGATTCTCAACACACCAAAGCATAAGTAAAAAGGGACTTTGGTATCAGTTACTGTTACTGCTAAATATCCCACTCTAGCTAAATGAACAAAGCTAAAATGAACATTAAAAATGTGAAAGAAAATGGAATGAAAAAAAGGCACATCAGATCAGCTATTTTAAACACAGGAAAAAAGACAGACCATAATTGTAAATACATATTAAAAATCATCTTACAGTAAACTTAAATCTAAGTCTACTTAGATATAGCACTGCTAATTATTATATAAATAACCTGGGAAACAATACCTCCAAGATACATGTTTTACTATTTAGTAAACAAGAAACTGCCACGTTTGACACCACTGATTAAGGCCAGGCATTTCTAAAGCTTCAGACACATTTCTGAAATCCACAATACATCAATTTTTAATACTTCCACTCTCTCAGCTCCATTAAAAAGATGGTAGGGGAAAGATTTTAGAGTAATTAATGATATAGTTAGCTGCTAAATATTAATAGGAATCGTAGTCTTGCATAAAATATAACATATAAACCTTGCCAATACAGACGCACCAGTAATTAAACTTGAATACGTAATTACACTGATTTATACGACAGGCAAAAAGTTACACTTTACTGGCTTCTATGTAAACTGTGGGCAACAGTTAAACTTTGCATTTTACGGTTTACATAAATGGGCAATATTTCTACTACAGTTCATAAATGGTTTAGAGACTCATAGTTAAAATTACGACTAATTCCAACATGAACATTCTGACTATATCTTACAAAACAGGCTGTGAAAATGACCACAGAGATCAGCCTCCTGTTACGCAAGCAAGTTGAAGAGGTTTTTAAAAAAAAACAAAACCAAAAGCTTATACCACCCTTAATACAAAGTAAATGAAGACTCATCTATTTAACTGTTTTCATATAAATGTTTAGTTTCAAATATAATCCCAGATGTTTCACTTACCATGTTGCAAAGCATTTTTGAGTAATATTGTGTCTTAGACTAAGGCATTTTTTTCTTGAAAGGATGTTAACTGCACTTAC